CGCTTTTTCTTGCTTTTACCATTGTTTTGAGGGGCTTTTTTCTTAACACTGACAAAACGATTACAAAGGTCGCTTAAGATAACATAAAACAGGTTGTCGGTAACCACTACGCATTAACATTCGAGGGGCTTAAATTCAGATTCAGTTTCCAAGAAAAGTGTTGAACGTAATGAAAAAGAAAACAAGAAAATACCTACAGAAATTACAATTCGAATATGCCTTTGAAAGTGAGTTTTAAACATTTTGATGTCATTTCAACGGTCGTCAAGGGGACTTGGGGCGCGCGAGAAGCGCGTGGGGCGCTTATCCCGCGCGTACACGCATGTCCAAATTCGCTTCCCTTTCCCCTTCAAACACCTTCCACGCAGTCTACCACCTTGTTATGACAACCCATCGAGTAATTACCGGTTCTCTAATAAAAGAAGTTTTACACATGTTCTTCGGTAATTTGTCATTGAGCGCCGTCTGCAAGTTTAGGCTATGTTCGCACTATACCGCATATCATTTCGTGCCGACCGGTATAGGAGGGTCCCCAATAGGTTTTCCGGGATACGGGATTTCCCTAGTTTGAAGCTCGGGATTCGGGATTTTAAAGCAAAATCAGGGAGAGATTCGGGATTAAAAGTATGCGCGGGAGGTGGGATGCCAAAAATAGCCCTCGGGATAACGGGATTGCTCGAAATCTTAGGTCGGGATTACGGGATTGAAGAACCCTATTGGGGACCCTCGTATAGTATGAACACTTATCCGATACGTGACTCTCCGCTTTTTGTTCGGAATTTTGGCGGGTCTGTATAGTAGGTGTGTGGTAGTGTAGTGGTAAGGAAGAGAGAGTAGGATATGAAAGGTCCGAGTTCGAGGTCCAGGGTCGACCCTGGGTTGCGATTTTCTTTCTTTTTAATAGAAAAACTTTCAATAACAGGTCAGAAAATGGTAGCGACCGTTTACGAAAGAGACAACTCCGTCGGCACAGGCGCAGTTTCGCTCCGTTACAGAAATGGCGCCGAAATCACCGTTTTCATGTGTGAAGAGAAGCCCTATCCAGTATAGTTTTCGCCGGTACCTTTGCAAAAGCCGTAACCGGGAAAGTGTGAACATAACCTAACAGCTGTAATTATTGTTCTTTTAGGGGAAGGAGTACAGGTGACTTTCCTTGTGTTCTCCGGTAGAGACGATCCGCAGTGGTTTATCCAAGACAACGATGCAAGATATAAAAACATTAAAGAACATCTCGATGCAGCAAGGGGCGCGTCTTTAACCTACCCACCAGACTGGATGAACCCAAGACTTGGGTACAAAGGGTTCTTAGTTCAAGAACAAGCACAGGAGCAACCAGAACTAATTATAGGAGATAAAACAAAGGAATTACAATCGATATTATACGATACTCTTCCTCCAGGTATAGGGTAACTTAGATTGGGTCTGCGCGGGCTTTTGAGGCAGAGGGATGGAGCCAGGGGTCTGTTTTCGAAAAATGGCGTTTAACGTTTCGTACACGACGTTAATAATTAATCATTAGTATTTATCATTACAGTATTTTCCACCAGGATCTATTCGAAAGTGTTAAAGAATAAAATAGATCCAACAATGTGTCTGGACTAATAATGGAGAAAGAAATTCATTCTGGTCAGATTCTGGGAACATTTCTACCGCAGAAATTTTTGAGACCGTGAGTGATGAAGTTGTGACAACGTTCATGACGTGGATCCGGCTTAGAACTGAAAGGACTGAACTTTCTTTCCTGAGATGCTGTTCATTATAATGTACAAAAACGTTAAGAATCCTTACGTATATTACTATTCAAATGAAAATCTTAAGAAGTATAATCTTATTTATTCAGCATTTAACTGAATCAAATTTTGTATTTTCTTTGAAGTTTTCCGCCGACACTACTCTTATAGGTCAAAACATCATTGCCGAACTCTTACAGCTATCTTGCCTTTATAACAAAAGGTTTCTCCGTTTTCTTTGAGGCTGGTTGAAGGAACCTACGTTGAAAGAACACTTTGCGAATGTTTTTGAACTGGAAATAGTCCGCGGAAAAATCAGCGCAGTAAACCCTGCTGTCAAACCACTACGACCACTACCAATAGTAAAGTTACCAAAAGAAAACTTACCCGCAAAGAAACCACCACAACCACCACCAGAAGAAATCGTACCCGCAAAGAAAACGATTTCAGTTGGAGGTAGACGAAAACGTTACGCTTATCCATATACTCCGTCCACTTGGAACACCAACAAACAGTTAGACAACAACTGCTACAACTATGCAAATAACAAAGTCACTGATACATTCGCCCAGCCGGGGAGGGGGAGTGGGGCCAAGTGCCGAGCCCAAGATGCTGTCTGTATGAGAAATTCAGCGGTAAACGATCATTTGGAATTTATGGACGTAGCCGCAGGCGCACCTATACCGCGGGTTCCGAATGGCAAAAAACATCTGGTGGCACTTTACGTTAGACCAGGTTAAAACAATATCATTATTTTCTCGTACATAGGGTATAAAATGTGGGAGACGCTCATATAAACCCTTTGAACACGGCGGAAACGCACAACGAAGCCCTAGGAAGGTATACATGGAAGCCTAATATACTGTCTGGTACTGTTGTCAAGGTTCAACGCACTTTGGTATGAAACAATGGCAGAAACTTAAAGATGCCATGGCTGCTATAAATGCGTGCGCATTGTAGAATTAGAAAGCGAAAAGGAAAAAAAAGCGATTTTAGCCTGTGTACAGCATCACCCTCCCCTCAAACACAATCGGGGCGATAATGTTTGAGATGAGGGACGGCTGTATATGAACTACGCGATTTTCGAATCAGCTTTGTGCGATAAAAACATCTTTTCTCTTCCTGGAAAAAAATCACTTGCTTTCGAAGATATATTTCTGCGGTGGCCGTATTGGTATAAGTTACAATATCAAAAATATCACACTTTTCTTAGAACCTAAGTAAATTGTTCTCTCTCTTTTTTAGGTATCGATTTTCACTTTTATCAAATGGACCAGGAAGGTATGTGGACTCATAAGCCCGGAAGGGCACCAGCTACCGACCTCGATAATGCGAATCAGTTGATTTCTGACCCAAGAAGGGCTACAACGGATCGGAACGGTTACGACGCATTTGGTGGTTTCTTGCTCAGTAACAGAGATGAAGTAACAATTGCTTAAAATATACCACGCCATGATGACGTTATGTTCATACATATTTATTTATCGTAGCAGACGAGAAACTTAACAGGGTATTAAGAGTTAGTCAATGTCAAACAAAAAAGAGATTACCTTACTTAAACTGAAGATACGTTCATACGTAAATTAAAATGGCCTNGATGCCATGGCTGCTATAAATGCGTGCGCATTGTAAAATTAGAAAGCGAAAAAGAAAAAAAAGCGATTTTAGCCTGTATACAGCATCACCCTCCCCTCAAACACAATCGCGGCGATTTTGTTTGAGATGAGGGGCGGCTGTATATGGACTACGCGATTTTCGAATCAGCTTTGTGCGATAAAAACATCTTTTCTCTTCCTGGAAAAAAATCACTTGCTTTCGAAGATATATTTCTGCGGTGACCGTAATGGTATAGGTTACAATATCAAAAATATCACACTTTTCTTAGAACCTAAGTAAATTGTTCTCTCTCTTTTTTAGGTATCGATTTTCACTTTTATCAAATGGACCAGCAAGGCTTGTGGACTCATAAGCCCGGAAGGACACAAGCTACCGACCTCGATAATGCGAATCAGTTGATTTTTGACCCAAGAAATGCTAATCGGAACGGTTACAACATGTTTGGTGGTTTCATGCTCAGTAACAGAGATGAAGTAACAATTGCTTAAAATATACCACGCCATGATGACGTTATGTTCATACATATTTATTTATCGTAGCAGACGAGAAACTTAACAGGGTATTAAGAGTTAGTCAATGTCAAACAAAAAAGAGATTACCTTACTTAAACTGAAGATACGTTCATACGTAAATTAAAATGGCCTGAAACAAATTTAAGTATGTGCCATGAAGGAAACCTTTTAATGCCAATGAAAGAATTAAAAATAAATAAATAAATAAACAAAACTGCATTTTTAACCAGACACATATTGTGATGAATTTATCTAGAGATTTATATTTATCCTTGGTCAATAATCTTGTTTCACTGCCAATTTCTTTCCTTACAGCGATTTTACCACATTATCCTCAGCCTTTCTGTTTTCAGGCTGAAAAATCGCAATTTAGAAGTACTTCTCTCTGGTACTGTTTACTATGCTGGAAGAGCTGGTTAGAAATTTTAGGTAAATTTTGAGTCTGTGGATGAAATTCTAAAGTACAACCATTCAAATGAAAGTTACTCAAGAGTTCTTTTCTGTAGTACTGTATATTATGCTGTACAAGTTAGTTCTAACTTTTAGTGAGTCTGTGGATAAAATCTTACAGAGTTATTATCCAAATGAAAGTTACTGAGCAGCACTTTCCTGCGGGTACTGTTTATTACGCTGTACAAGGTGATTCTAACTTTCAAATCTGTGGATGAAAACCTAAAGAGTGACCTTTTAAAGGAAAGCTACTAAGCATTACTTTCCTCTCGAAACGTTTTTTATACTCTACACGGTGGTTATAACTTTTGAGTCCGTGGATGAAATTCTAAAGAGTGACCAAACAGATGAAACCTGTTTTTTTCCGTCCTTTCACACAATACTTATTAGTTTTAGATTTGTGCAAAATCAAATTTGGGATTTTTCGATAATTTTGATTTTGAGCAATCTATGTCATCCTAGCCTACGCCACAGACGAAACTTAATGTGCAGTGGTAAAGAATTAAGTCTGGAACGCAGGCTTTGTCATCTAAGCTTTATGTGAAATATTCAAGTACACTCAGTGGAGGCAGGGTGATCGAGCGGTTAGAGCCAGGGGCACCCAACGACCGTTTTCTGGGAAATTATCTGAAATGGCTCGTTATGCATCCTGGAGTGCTTTAAAAGCAATATAAATGAATAATTCGCATCTTTAAAATAATTTGATCCGTTCGGTCGTCCTAGGAGTGGTTTGAACCTCTCGAATTTTTTAGGGCTCTTTCTGGCCTTTCCCGAAAATAACAGCCTACAGTGAAAGCTCTCCGAAAACGTAAGATTACCTGACGAGCTTTTCCCTTAGCCGAAATTTTTAGGGGTCCTTTCAAATTTTTTCCGAAAACTCTACGGTCCAAACGGTCGTTGGGTGCCCCTGTAGAGCGCTGGACTTGTAATTCGGAGGCCCCGAGTTCAAGTCCCGCCCTGACAGTTCAAATCCTCGGTCATGCTTGTAAATAGCCAACTGGTTCGCCTAATACCAGCTAGGATTCTTATGTTCTATTTGAATTATTGTTTCATTATCCCTGAGAAGCCCCATAAGGGGAGTGGATAATTAAGTATTTGTTATTATTCTCATTATCATTATCATCATCATCATCATCATTATCATATCATTATCATTATTATTATCATTATCATTATCATTATCATTATCATTATCATTATCATTTTTATTATCATTATCATCATCATCATTATCATATCATCATCATCATCATCATCATCATCATCATCATTATCATTATCATTATCATTATCATTATCATTATCATTATCATCATCATCATCATCATCATCATCATCATTATCATATCATTATCATTATCATTATCATTATCATTATTATTATCATCATCATCATTATCATTATCATTGTTATTATCATTATCATCATCATCATTATCATATCATTATCATTATCATTATCATTATCATTATCATATCATCATCATCATCATCATCATCATCATTAACATTAACATTAACATTATCATTATTAATAGTAGTAGTAGTAGTATTTTCATTTTTATTTTTATTATTATTACTCACCCCTCTTAACCCAGTGGTACCCACAGCCTGGTGAATAACAGCAAGACTGTAATGGAGTGTCACCATCCAGCAGTTCTATCATAGCTGTATAAGCCTCTGACACAGATAGCGCCAGGGCTGTTTGTCTCTTGTTGTTTCGTAAATTGATATCACAATGGTCCTGAGGTTACAAACAAAACTGTGTGAGAGGCCACTTATCAACCAGGTAAAAAGGTACGGTAAGAGCGGAGTATTACATTCTCTGGGTGGTTTTCCACTGCGGCGAAATTTTACCTTGCGATCGCGCAAAAAATTTACCTGCGTAAATGAAATAGAGGCAATAGGGACCTTAAGCAAAGACGTTTTTGAGCAACGCACGTCAACCGGAAGTGAGGCCTTCTCCCTTTTTATATGTGTTGACGCTCACAAATTTGTATTGCTAAGTTTCTTTTCTCTTATAAAGACGATTTACCTGAGAGTTTCAACCAAACCACTGCCCAATGATGCAAAAAGTCCACTTCCGGTTGACGTCCGTCGCTCAAAAACGCTGTTGCTTAAGCTCCCTAATGTATGAAAGGCCAAAAGGTTCAACTTTAACGTATACACGTGACCTTCTATACATTGTCTTTATTTCATTTACGCGCACGTACTGAAGAATTACGCGACAGTGGAAATCCAAACCTTCAGAGTGGATTTCCACGTGATTTTTATGTGCGTGCGCAAAATTTACGTTACGTTTAACCGCGGCCTTCCATACACTGCCTATATATATTGTTTACGCAAGTCAGAAAATTTACGTGCGAAATTACGCGACAGAGGAAATCCACCCAGTAACCCTCAACCCCCGCACGCCATGATAGACTTACACAGGGTACCTATTTTATACCTAATATTATAAAGTATATTATTGTTACCCCTCCCTTATGATTCATTGAATGTTAGTCTAGACTTTACCTCACCAATACATCGTCGGGCTTTTCAATTACAATAATAATTAATTTACAAAATGGTACGTCAGAACGATAGTAAATCCAAACATTGCATACTACATATGGTTCATATGAAAGAAGTAAGAAAGCTACAATTACAAGATAAAAACACCATAAAAAAATGAATGGGGAAGTTTGTGACGCAAAATTAAAACAGACCCTAAGATTACTAGGATAAGCTAAGACCGACATATTAGCATCAATGTTACAAGGGGGGCAATAGAGAGTAAAGTCGTTACGCAATGTTGCCATGGTAGCAAAATTTTAGGTCCTGCGAATTTGTCAGAAAAAAAAACGGAAAAATTGACATGTATTGTGTGACTTTCCTGTGGGTGATTGCATTCAGTCACAAAACGGTAGCCATTTAATACTTTTCTCCCATCGTCCGACAATGCAAATGGCGGTCTCTGTCAAGATTGTTGCGATCCAAAAATTTTGCTACCATGGTAACGTTACGTCACACTTCTCCTCCCTATTCAACTGAGGTTCTCGCTTTTTGTCCTTGTTTTGGACTTCCCATCGAAGTTGTTTTAAGCAAGAGTTCTGCATGGGCATGCATTAAATGGTCAAAATTGCTGATCACTGGGCGGCGCATGTATCGCACTCCTCAAGGATATATGCTCACATACCGACAACAGAAGACATCTCGCAATGTCAAGATGATTATTGAACGCGACTAGATGCAAGGCAGTAAATCCATCTTCTTTTGGTATCTCAATAAGACCAGGATACTTGTCTGTGATTTTCTGTACAGCACTGCAACCGATAAGGAGATAATTGAAGACTTAAAAGTCGTCTTAAGCTGCCCACAGGGTAGAATAACAAAGAAAGGCAAAGATAAGTACATCTGAACCAATAATCTTTACGACAAATGTTAGCCGGGCGAGATGGGAGAGCGAATGGCTTTTTCCAAAAATATATGAAAGTGTTGCGCAATTTTCCTCAAATTTCAAGAATCTCTTAATTTTTATTTGTTTGTTATTAGTAAAATAGTAATGACCGACCTGTTATTATCCACTGACAATGTAGAAAACCGCATTCAGAAAGGAAAAACTCTCGTTTAAGAAAAAACCTTATGTTGAAAACAATGTTAATTTGAAGGTACAAATTACCTGCAGAATCAGCTTTGGGCATTCACTACGAGATACACACCCAGAACTGAAGGGTTTTCAGTTTTGTAGGGTATGGGACTCCAGTCGAACAAACCGAAGGAATACGCGGGTTTAAAGAGGAAGGTGATTTTCCCCAACTTACTATTGACCGACAGAGTCCCTCAATATTACTTACTGTAAGTTTCCTTTCATGCAGGCTTGATGAAGAGGGTTAAAACCCCTGCCATTGCACACAAAAATCTCAAGGCGCTCCGAGCGAAGGATAAGCTCCACGATTGCGTTCTTTTCTTTGGAGATCGCATCGTGTAACGGCGTATCCCCTTCTAAATCCTGGAAAGAACAATTTCAAGAAAGTTACTTAAATTCAAATTAATTAGTGCTGTGCGGGCTTATGCGGGCTACCCTGAGTACCCGAGGTTATTTTTTTCGCGCGTGTGGCAGGAATCTTCGGTGTTGGCCGAAGGCAAAAGCCACGATCGGCGAAGCTGTGAGGAAAAACGAGCGGGACAGTATAAAGACTTCAAAGACACCGAAAACCGCACAAATAAAGTCTCTGGCACCCAGGCTATAGTGGGCTTAAACCATTCACAATTAGTGTCACATTTTGAAAAAAGTGGTTTTAAGTTCAGAGGGACTCTATGACACTTGACAATTATATGAATATCACATATAAGAACTGCGAGATGAAGAATAAGTGCACAGATGATCCCGCAGATCTAGTGAATATGGGGCGTTTCTGGGGGAGATGGGGAAGAGAGAAAGTTAGAGAAGCGAAAAGGGGAGACAGCGAAGGGAGATCCTTTCTATCTGCTCTCTTCTCCGTTCCCCCTTTGCCTTCTAAAATCTTCTCTCCCTTAACCCCTAAGGAAGGTCACACCCATTTTTTAAATGTACGCCATTTCTGAAGCGTGACATCCTAAAAACTGGTTGCGAAGGATTAAGATTACCGTTTCTGCTAACGGGTACGTATACGGGTAAAGGTATACGTTTGCCATCTATTTGTTTAAAAGGGACTACACTCGTTGTACCCAGCCGCTCAGCCGTTTTCCGGGAAAAGAGGTTTGCATGTATAGGTGCGGGCACCATTAAACGTACCTGCGCACCAGAAACGGTATATCTGAAGGCCGCTGGGGGTGCCTCCTTATATAAGCCATGGAGGTATGTGCTGCCCTAAAGGGTAGGGTTTTTGCTCCGTTTCGGTCTGAAAAAGGCTTGTAGACTTGGTCCATTTCTGTCTGGTATAGGGTATGGTTTTCAAAGGAACTACGGGAGTGTATGAACTAATAAGAGAATTCGAAATGTATTTTAAGAAATCTTTTCCTGACGTTCTAATCCTGGCTTCACTTGCTTGCAAAACCATAAGTACAAGCTTCAGAAACCAGGCCCCGGTTGTTCAAAAGATGGATAGCACTATTCGCTGGATAAATCACTATCCAGCAGAAAAGTATTACAGAAACCAGTTGCGCTATCCATTAGACAAAAAGTGGGTAGCGTTATCCAGCTTTTGAACAACTAGGGCCTGGTCTCAGAACGGGTGTGGAAAATGACATTTTTTTGGTCTGAAATAGGGTCCGGGGGACCGGGCGGCACACCCACACAAAGAATTCCCAGAGGAATTAATTTTTCCCCCGCTGAAAGCTTCTTATTAGCAAAAACAATCTTCCCCTGACAGTTGACGTCGCAATGCCTTGACGCCAGAAGTGACCTCACCCCAGCGTTATTACCTTGATTGACGGCTAAGTGAAGCGGTGTGCTTTTGTTCTTGTTATCGGAGACATTTACATTTGTACCTGTGTTTAACATCACAGTCACTATTTCTCCACTGCGATCACTATGAAAAAAAGAAAGACTTATTTTAAAAAAGAGTGTCCCAATTTCAAGTGGTCTTACCGATCTTGTTCTCAATAAACTCAACGGAACGTGTAAAAGGGTACGCTGTCCTAAAAATTTAGGGAAGCTAGCCTGAGTATCAGGTGATTCTGCGTATCAGGCATTTCTAGGGGAGGGGCCGGGTAGGAGAAGAGAGAAGCAAAAACAGGAACTGTCATACCCCTCCCCCTAATCCCTATTAGGAAGACCTGATACTCAGGGGACTCAAAGAATACAATTTCTCCCAACCAGCTGGAGATGAGATTGCCCCTGAATGACTAAGTCTTCTGACATCAAAGCCTTTTTATGCGCTCGATCCGGAGCGCAAAAAGAAACACCACATTTAAAGTTTGCCAACCAAAAGGTGCAAGATAAAAAATTATTACCGGAAACACATACATGTTTAGACAGAGAAAACCATGAAACATCATGAAAAATTTGAGATGTATAGTATGTGCGATAATCATAAACTTAATTGTTAATCCGGTAGAACTTAAAATGCACGTAACGATTTATTTTCGAAGGCTTACTGTTGGCACGTCGCGTCACAGGAAACGTTTCTTTTTTTACTCACCATAGGCGGCATGGTGCAACACAGAGTAATCTTGTTCATCCTAACAATTCACAAAAAATGTGAGATAACTAAAATAGTGCAGAGCCTGTTCATAGCAATAATAATAATGATAATAATAATAATAACAACGACAAATATAATGATAATGAGAAGAATAATGAAAATTATCGAAATGTCAACAGTCTTTAAGCGAAATTTCGGAAATATTTCACCTGAACAAGGGCCCGATTGGTCGAATTTACACAGAACTGTAGACAACTGAACAAAACCACTGAAACATACAAACCTTGATGTCCTTGTCAGCACCTTTACCTTAAAGGTACTGTACAATTTCTTTCCGACCCTGATGACAGGCCACATGAAGAGCTGTCTTGTCTCCTCTTTTATGATCGATCTAAACACATGAAAAAAATATGGATAAAAGTAAATAAGAACATATAACGTGATGAAAATACTTGATTAATCATTTCTTTTCAATATTTGCCAGCTAACTGTGATTTATAAATAGTGTCATTTGGTAATTTAAAGGGCAGGTATCTAAAACGTACCTTTTTTATTAGCTGTTAAAAAAATATATCGAGAATGAGTTGTTTTTGCATTTTTACGTGTTCTTTACCAATCAGAAATTAATCAAGCCGTTCGCAACTTGCGTGCACACGTTTTCCCGCGAAATTCGGCAGCTTCAAGAATCTGCTTTGAGTTTTGATTGGCTCAATGAATGACTGAGTCTACTTTGAATGACTAGAGCCAATCTTGATTGAAAACCGATGTAAAGGAAGTGGAGTAATTTTGGGGGGAGGGGATATTAGGGGGCTTAAGCATCAACGACGGCGACGATTACGAAAACGTCAAAGTGAATTCGCGCTGCCTCAAACTTTATCGCGCTCATTCCATCTTGTTTAATTCGTCAAATGTTGACAAATTTTGTCAAAGTTAAATTCTAGAGGACTGTTTTAAAGTTCAGGAAAAGAATGAGAAACTTGTTGTCTAGTGTTTCCGTCGTCGAGAAAACGTCAATTTAGACACTTTCACGTTGTAGTCGTGCAGCGACGGCTAAGAAATATGCAAAAAAGCGTGATGCACGTGCAAGGAAATATACAAAAAAGCGTGATGCACGGGCAAATTAGTTGTTGTTTTGCCAATCTAAACCTATTACTTTTTTTGCCGTTCTCGTTGCCGTCGCCGTCGTCGTTGCTTAAGCTCCCTGTTAGACGCAGAAGAATACCTTGCCAGGATGTGCTTCAAGAATTTCACGGACCTCCTGAAGGTTACCATTGGATGAAGCATTTACTAATCTGTCTCCTGGATCGACACTGCCTCCTTTGGATGTAACAGCTTCAAGAAGAAGCATCCTTAACAGATCCGTTGCTCGGTCAACTGTGGAAGGGAGTTCACAGTAATCACTCAGAGTAGTCAATTCAGAGGCAGTCAGTGACCGCATTTTTCCAGATTGACATAGACTGGTATATCAGAAAGGCACAACTCGCCTAAACAAGTTAAGGGTAAGCTGTAGAGCGGGGATAACTTCGCAAACATTCCAGGAGATAACACCCAGTCAGCGTTGCACGACATTGTTAATCCCCGTTCAAAATTTGGTCCCAAAATAGCACAGGGACCAATCACATAAAATGAAACGTCATCTAGTGGTTAAGTAAAGAGACCGACAGTGCTAAACATGGGACATTAGCTGTAAGGACTGAAGTTGCATCTATACAAACTGAACCAAAAGCTTCAGTTGTCACCCAGTTACCTGGATTAGTGGGGGAAGTATCGCCTCGTCTTGATGTAGCTTCACCGACTGCCGACATATCTTCAACAACCACAAATCCGAATCAACTAAAACCACACCATCGCCATCAAAATCCACTTCTAAGATCCTTCCCTTTTTTCTCAGAACGACACAAACAAACAGTGACACACAGAAAAGCCAGCTTTGAGCCTGCGATAAGGGATGCGCAGAAGTTTGCGCAGAACGTTTTTCCCTCCCTAAAGATGCGACGCCGCCAGCTAAAAACCCGAAACCACGTTGTGGTGGAAAAGAAACATGTAAACCCCAATCCTCTGAAAAAAAATTGCAGCGTTGACGACAACTTTGGTTCGCCGAAGAGGTACGTGGTACGCAGTGGTATGTAGTAAGTGAGAAATGCTTCAAACAAACGCCTGAAAATTTACAAAATACAATTTTGGAGCTTGAGTGAGTGGTCACAGACCTTGCCTGCTTCGAATTACAACGGACGACAGGATATCACAAAAAATCTGCCCATGATTCCTCCTAGCCGAGCCACTCCTCTGGTCTGCGCCGAGAAAATAGCTGCAGGTTCTCCGATGCTGCACTACAGTTCACAAGACAGTGGATAAATTATTTGCTTGGCTGAAAAATTTGACAGGACAATCCGTTCACTCAAAACCATACAATATTTTCACTCCCTTGACACTGGGAACTGACGAACCAGGTTGAACTTTTGTCAGAGGTTATACCACCTGCCTATGCGCAGAACACTACTTGATAAAATACAAAATGGCCTCTTTCAATCTCGTCCGCAGAGCCTCCGTTACTTTTGTGCAGCGGATGGGTTAATGATCTCCGTCGCTGTACAAAAGGATCGCGACTTCTGGGAACGAGATTGTGCCTCTTTTAGCTGAGATACCACGCATCCATGCAACCACGCCTTTGCAGTACAAAAATAGAAACGTTTATGGTGTTCACACCGCGCCGGTCAAATTTAAGACCTTAAACTGGCTAAAAAATTGACAACGATTTTGGCCTTTCAAATTTTTCAACGGCTAGGCGTCTAAATTTTCGTACGGTTAAGGTGGTTTCGTGTGAACACCTAAACTCACGAATTTTCAACGTATCTGAACGAAAATTGTCCCAACCTTGTGAACGCCAGAGCCTTCAAATACTATTCATGTTTACGTTTTTTATTAATTTTCGTAACGTGCGGGTCTTTTTTCACTTTAACCGCATTGTTAATTAACGGTATAACAAATAGAGAAGGAGGCTAGGTTTGGAAATGCTTTAAGTTAAACTATGAACAAATGCGAGCAAACATAAATATATGTTATTCACCGGCTGGGAGGTCCCTATTGGGAGAAACTGTGCCCGAGGTCTTAAGTACCGCCTGAGGCCGTACCTAGGCCGAGGGCGGTACTCAGACCGAGGGCACAGTTTCTCCCAATACGGACCGACCTAGGCCGGTGAATAACATTTTTATTTTTTTCCCACTGAGATTTAAAAGTTTCAGGAAAATGTTACTTCAGCCTCTAACCTAATTGTGTGTTGAAGAAGGGCGCGTTCGTGTTGATGTTATTCAAAGCGCGCGATCGATTGCAAACCAAAACAAAACATTTAATTATAACTGCGCTGTAAGCAGTGCAATCTTGCTCTTATGCACCGTTTATTCGACATTTTTCCTCTGTTTGTAGGTTTGTTTTCCATTTTCGCTGTCTGAATCTATAGATTCTGCCGTTTTCCATTAAATTTTGCCCCGCCAGTTTTCTACTTTTCAGAAAAGGTTGTTGTCAACGATTGCATGTAGTTTTCAATCTTGAATAAACAACACGAACAACTTTTCCAGCAGTCAGTTATCGCCGTTTTTATTTCTTTGTTTATATAATTGTTTAGTTACCCACATCGCCTTCTTTTATTCGAATTCTCTTCAAAACCCTGAGATTGGTATGTGTAATTAGCTCTTTTTATAAAGCCTTTGTGTAGTTTTTATCCCGCTCGATTGAATTAATCTTAAAGTAAATATTCAGCCGAACAAAGTCTTTAATGTATTTTCTTTCCTGTGGCTTTTAAGTTCGTCAAACCTTTTATCCTTGTTTGACACCCAGATTATGAATTGTCTACCAAGACACAGAAACCTTTCTCTATTTTAAAGAGAGCTTAATTGTGAAAATGTATATAAATTACAAGTTAAAAATCATGTTGTAATAGCGGGCAAGATCGTAAAAAACTGCCCGCTCTCGCAACCAATCAGGATTTGGAGGATTCCGCCCGCTCGGCAAGCTTAGAAAAAAATAAATCTTAATATGCAAGAAGCTTGCGCCAGTGAATAATTTATTTTAGCGCCATAAAGTTGTTTCAAGATTTTCTTAATTAACAATTAATGAATGAAGCTGAGTATCTTATGAAGAATTATGGAGATCGAGGAGGGGGTTATCCGTCGAGGCCGTAGGCCGAGGCCGATAACACCCTCCGAGATCTCCATAATTTTTCATATGATACGAAAGCCGAATTCAATAATTGTTTTATTATTCATTCAAAATAATTCCTAGTTTAAAAACATAGCTAAAACATGCTTACCTCCATCGATTCATCGATGTTCAGTTCATCTTCGATAGTGTACGTTTAGGTATGTCCAGCTCCGCAAATATTCTCCGAATAGCAGATGTTGCCCTTCGAGTTGTCTTCTTGCTGTTCTTGCCATGTTTTTAGCTATTTTTTTGCCTAGTTCTTACTCTTGAAACGAGTGAAATGTCCGCCATTTTTTCAAGTTCACAGCCAAAACAACTCAACCTCTTCCCAGGTCTTCTCGGTTATCGGTGCCTTGACCTGCGAAAACGCTGCATTTTTGACGTCATTTCCTCGTTAAAGTCAAATTTCTTCCAAATTTGGTCATCAGTAACTGGTTATGGTGAATTAAACGTGTGCTTTTAGCCAATCAGAATCGGGGAAGTATTCTGAATGAATAATAACTACAATGAACTTTACCTTTCGTTCCTGGTTTTAAAAATAAAAGTCAATGATGTTTCCGTTAAACCTGGCCTGATCTCAGGTTAGTTTCCTCGGGAAAAAAAGGCTAAATTGATACACATGGTCGCAGATGTTGGATTTTGTTATTTCGATCTGTGCGAGAATCAATGGTCAAATTGATAGTTTTTAATTACACCTTTCAAAAGGACATTCATTGTCTTTTATCAAGGGAAAAATAAGTCAAACAACTCCGAAATAGATTTTCTTTGAAAGAAGATAATTGCTTTATTCTGTTTTAAGTCGTACACTCTTGAATTTTTAAACCACAGACTCAAGAATTGGAATCAAACTTGACACTTATGGGCTTAACCTTTTTGACGATATATTTCAATAATTTCAATTTCTAAATATCAAGTAAAAAAGTAATAACTTTTCATTTGAGAACTTTACCTCATTAGCATTAGTTTCGATTTTCGGAATTTTTAGATGCAACAGGGAGGAAGAAGTATATTCTAGTTTAGTAATCAGTCTCAAAAAGTCCAAAGAAAAAACTAAAGAGACAATAAACGTCTTCTTTTTAGAACATACCTAAGTATTTTCCGTTCAGAGAGTAGACTCTTATGTATTACACCTTAGAGGAGAGAGGTGAATGTGAAATTGTTGTAGACGTATCAAATAGAACTGGTCTTGCAGAGATCAGTGACCTGTGATATACCTATTCCACATGCATGAATCTACAGAATTTTAATTTTTTATTGCGGTGTGAAGGAAATATTAATAGGCCTAATAACAACCAAATGAATATTTAAGTTTTGGCTCCATTTTCATGGTGAAATTGCGTAACTTTTCTTACTTCCAAACCCTAATCAACAAATCAAAACTGCACTCCTTTTCTAATTTTTGTCCCTATTTCGGCAAGCACTATTCTTATCCAATAATAACGAAAATCAAGTATGGCGGCGATTTAAATCTTTGAGGTCATTATCACGTCCCAGGCCGGATTTTACCAATTTCGATTATTTGGCAAGCACGATAGCCTGGCATCGCGGATTCAGACGAATTTTAAGCTTGAAACTATAATATTAGTGTAACAGTGATTAAACTCTTCTTTAATAACGTCTTGAAACAACTACAACAACTGCACAGCCAAAATGGCCGTCTACACTCTCTCAACGAACCGCACGTGATTCCTGCCCTGAAGTCCTGGGGCGAGGCTAGACTAGTCTCTTAGCAACGTTACACACCCCCCCTCCCTAGTGGAGAAAGGGCGTTATCAATGTCCTTCCCTAAAAGAAAGTCTCCCATCCAGGCAGGGACACGGCGGTCTCTGGTTGAACGTCTCGGCCGGAGGTCCGGTTCACGGTTGACAGCTGCGGCATTCTCAGTCGGAGCGGGGCCCCCAGGTAGGGCATCTGCGGTGCGAGCCCACGGTAACTCCAACACAGCACGCTCTCCAACATTCAGATCCGTAGGTTGGCCAGCGTCTCTCTCGACGTCATGCAATGTCGGCTGAAGCTGAGGGGGTCTCCGTAGGTACGGTTTAAGACGGTTAAAGTGCACAATCATTCTCGTTTTCCGTCTTCCCCGTGTGGGTGTGGCCTCCTCGCACTGTATCCTGTAGGTGACGTCAGATATGACCTTCACTACTCGCCACGGTCCGGACCAGGGGCGATAGAATTTCCGGTGTACCCACCTCGGAACGGCCTTTTCCTCTAACCACACCAGATCACCCACTTGGTACGGCTTTGCGTTTCCCTTGCAGCGCGCGTCATAGACATCTTTCTGGTGACGAAGGTTGACTCGCAGATTCTCCCCTACTCGTCCATACACCCCCTTCAGAATTTCTTGCTGTCTCTTGACGAAAGATGGGTAATCAGGCGGTTGTTCTGAAGGAGGCCCCTCCCTCATTGCGTCAATAGGTAATCTCAGTTCCCTGCCGAACATGAGCATACTAGGGGAGAAGCCGGTCGTCTCATGGGTGGATGCACGCAAAGCCAGGAGGACCTTAGGAAGATACTGATCCCACTCCTCTTGCTCCTCCGCAACCTTGGCAATAACACCGGTAACCGTACGGATAAGTCGTTCCGCACCCCCATCACACTGAGGGTGGTATGGCGTTGTCCTTTGTTTGACGGATTCAATCAAGCTGCATAAGCCACGGAATGTCCTAGACTCAAAATTGCGGCCCTGGTCGCTGAGTATCCCACGAGGGCAACCGAAGCGGCATACGAAGTTGTCCA